TGTTCTTTTTCCTATTTTTTGTCCTAAGAATTCTATATATTCTTTTTTGATAATATAATTTCATTTCAATACATAATCTTAATACTTCCTCTACAGGTTTATAATATTTTTTTAAGGTATGTGATGTTACAAAAATATCATCAATATATCAGCACGTAATCTAAATGTTTAAATATATTATCCATTTTTATTTAAAATATGCTAGGAGCACTTTTTAATCCAAAAGGCATAATAATCCATTCATAATGTCCTAAGGGTGTGGTAAATGCAGTATATTTTATAGAATTTTCATCTAATTTAATCTGTCAAAATTCTGATTTACAATCAAATTTACTAAAATATTTTTTATCTTGTATCAAATTTATTAACATGTCTTTATCAGGTATTTTATATCAATCATCCTCAGTATTATCATTTAATCTTTTATAATTTATAACTATCTTAGTTTTTCCTCTTAGAATTTCAGCATGATTTCTTACCATGAATGCTGCAGATCTATGTTCTGAATTTAAATTCCTAATTAACCTTAAGTGTTTTAATTCTTTTATTTGTATTTTAAAAAAAAAATTTATCTAAATGACTATATACTAATTCTTTTGTTCTAATTACTAAATCTTTATTTATAATTGGTATATTTGTTAATTCTTTATTTCTTTCCCAATGTTTCAAGGGATTCTCTGCTATTATTTGGATCTCTTCAGCTAATTGAAATATTTTTTCTAATTGTTTGGGTATTTGATAAGTAAATGTTTTATCTTGTTTATAACAATAATTTAGATATTCAGAACTTCAGGGTTTAAATCTAAATTATTTTTAGATTTTTCTCTATTTTTTAAAACATAACTACTATGTTTATTGGTAGTAATTATGTAATTATTGAGGTTCTTTTACTAATTGTTAAGTAGTCTTTGGTTATGTTTATCTATCCTTCTAAACTTAGCATAAAATTAAGACCCAAAATAAACTTCCTATTTTTTGCCTCATGTACTAATACTTTTGGTAAACTATACTTCTCAGATAACTCTATAATTGTATGATCAATAAAAAATTTAATCTGATTATTCATTAAGCATTTGTTAAATTTTAATATTTGATCTCCCACTATGTAAGAAGTTGTATTCGTAGGATGATAATTTTTAAAACTACTTGGTATTAAATTTTGTGTTATTACTGATGTCGTACTCTCACTATCTATTATAGTCTGAACCGTTAATTGTGATTTGTCTTCCAAAATTAATATAGCATGGACTGTATTAAAATAGGATGAAACGAATAATAATCTGTAAATGCAGTCTTTGTTTGTGTAAAATCTATCTTATTTATTTCATTGTATTGTTTTTTATCTTCTAAATCAGTATTTCTTTCTATGTCTGATCTCTTTGAATATTCTCATCTTCCGAACTAATTTTATTAAATATTGATTCTCTAGCTATTCTTCTCTTTTTTATTTCTTCTTCAGAACTTGTTTTTTTCAGAGATTGATTCTATTTCACAAGTCTTGTCAACTCTTTTCTTTCTTTTTTCAGTACTAGATGCTTCTTTTTCAGAATTTAATAATTCATGTTTCTTAGCACTGTCCTTTGATTCTTTTCTTGGTGATCTGTCTAATCTTTTTTTTTTTGTGCTTTCTTCAGAACTATCTTTTTTGAAAACTGATTTTTCTTGCCTTTTTTCACTTTTTTTCTTTTAATTCATTTCTTATAGTTCTTTCTAACTTTTTCTTTTTATCGCTTTTTTCCGAGCTGCCTTTTTCAAAAATTGATTTTTCTTGTCTTTTTTGTACTTTTTTTCTCTTTCAGATCTAGAATATTTTCTTATTTTTTCTTCCGAATCATATTCTTTCATTTTTTATTTTAATTTTTTCATCTTATGTTCTATCTTTTGCATTTTCATATCATGATCCTTATCTTTATCTTCTAACTTTTCTAATCTAAAAAGTATCTTTTCAATATTAAGATTATTTTTTTCTAATTTGAATTCTATCTTTTCTAGTTTTTTTAGTGGTACATCTATATCTCTTCTTTTGGTTTTATAAAATCTCTATGATCAAGATTATGATGTTTCTTTAAACATAAATGACATAGTTCTATTAGGCATAACTGACACCTATATCTATGATGTTGATCTGGATAATAAGTACAATAAATACATTGCTTAGTCATGCTACATTTTCCTAATTCAAAAAGATGATTACCATGCTCTTTACTTTCCATTTTAAATTTAAAACTTTATCAGAGTAATAATCTAAGTCTAATGTCTAAACCCACCACGCTTCCGTGCATTTAAAATTAATTCTAAATTAAATCCTAAGGTTAAATTTAAAATTAATTTTAAATGGATAGGCTCTGATACCAAAAAGGTCGTTTGCCGAATGAGAAATGTTAATGACGGGCTCAAGAAGAGGGCAAATAGGCGTATTTTATGGTAGAAAATCCTAATTGATTTAATAAGACTACAAACAAATCAAAGAAAACACCCAACTCATCAAGCCTCTCAGAGTGGTCAAGGCCATCAACAACACCTATGGGCATAATGCAAGATGTATGACATGAAAGTTTCAACAACTCTAATTTACTAGAAGCTTAAGTTGCTGAAAAATAGAAAAATGCCAGTTTTACAAGCTCCAATAATTTGAACTAAATGCAAGGAGATTCCTAGCTTAACTGTCCAATGTAAACATTAGTCCTCTTGCCTGTTCAATTCAATAAATTCATATGACCTGAATCAAAGAGTTTCAGCATGCCTTTGGTCGAACTAAGAGAACATTCCAACTTATAGAATTATGATTGAAGATCTGATTAGCTCCAAGTGAATCATTGCTATGCTTCTTTCAAGAGGTTCCTCATATCAGAACAAAATTAAAGTAAATCCTTATCACAATTATTCATTTCTATGGAGCTAGATCTGAGCCATTAGAACTTAAATCCTTAATCATTATGTTTAGCTCTAAAAGTTGAATCTGGGACCAAAACTTTTTCTAGTATAGCTCACTTATGGAATTTAGTTTTGGTTTATAAAACTCCATTATCCCAATTTAAATCTCCTATTGAGTTTGGTTGAGCTCGTCAAAACCTAAATCTTTATCTCAGTTAGTTCACAAAGCAAGGTTTGGATCATGAATTTTGAATCTAAGTCATTAAGACCAAAGTACTCAATCTCAATTTAGCTCATAATAAAGGGTCTTAATTACCGAACCTAAATTTTTATCTCAATTGCACTCAAAAGTGCTGATTATAGGTGACCAAAACATACATCATTATCCAAATTCAGTTTTTCAATTGAGTCAAATCAAAATCATCATAACCTTAATTACCTTTTCTTGGTTAAGCTCATTGAGATATGTCCACTTCATCTAAAAGCTTAAATCATTATTCCAATCTAGCTTGTGAGTAAATTCTAAGTGCCTAAACCACAATCCGTTTATCCTAACTTAAGCTCATTTAGTTAGGTTGAGAATACATAACTTTAAGTGATGCATAGGCCAAGTCTCACCACAAGTTCCACAACCTTATATAAGCCATACAATTATTTAATTCCATTATTCCAAGAAATTTCAATTGAAAGGTGATTTAGATAATTAATTCCATTTCTCCACGAAGTTTCACTTGTAAGATGATTTGGATGTGGCATTATTGACCCTTTTTAAAATTCTTGTTGTTATTGGGCTCTCTCCACAATCCAAGGCTTAATCCCTTTATTCAAAACTTATGGATAATTCTCTCCCCAATTCAATGCTCCTCACAAAATTCAAAAAGCAATTTCCTCCACTCATCAGGGTATCCAATTAAATACAAATTTTATAATTTTGTAGCTTTAGGAGTTATTATTTAAATCCTTATCATCATGGTATTTTTTGGACCTCAATGTTATCTATGATGGACTTTCTTATCAGCTTGATTTTCCAATTGAACTTGCCCCACTAATATGTCTGATGGGTTAGCGGCTCCTCTGTACCTTCAATTCTATTGGTGACAAACAACGTACCTTATTCTCCTCTCAAATACCAACCCAAGCTATCCTTTATAACTATCCCTGCATCTGCCATAAAAAATGGAAAAAAAAAATCTAGTTTCTATCAAAACCTTCAACCTCCATCAACACCTAAGAAATCTTAATAAGCGTTGAAAGTTTCCACCAAAATTATAAGCCTATATTAACTCCAAAGATTTCCACATAACCTCAACTCTCTCATCACACAAGCCAAAACCTTAACGCATTCAAGGGCTCTCAGGCAAGCCCCACTTCCCTAAAGAAATATACCCTTCCATTTCCTAAACTCCAACAAAATAATTGTCCACCATGGTATGCCTCTTGGCCACCTAGCATAACCTAGTACAACAATATCCCAAGCAACCTACAAACCTAACCTTCCAACCCTTCAACCATGCTTCCAAAATAACTACAAAAAAGAGCATACACACTACAAAAATTTGACATTAGAACAAGCCACAAGATTATCTAGCTCTTCACTAACAATAAAGACCAACGTCATCAATTCCTTGTTTACACCGATCTACATATTAAATGGGTGATTGGATCACCAACAACTTGGTAGTCACTGCAATCCTTCGGTGGTTAATTTCACAAATTGGTAATTTATCTTCTTCATTGGAATTTAGGATGTAATTACATATTAGTTTGCAATCCTTTGAAATATATGTGTCATTGAAGTAGTTAACTCTACTAATATAGTTTAAACTAAAACCTAACTTTAACCTACCCTACCTGGTGTTACTTGTGATATCCTGAGTTGTAAGAGTTTGTTTTAATTTTAAAAGGAACCAACCCCCTCAATGCAATTAAGACACCAATAAGATAGCGCAGGTTCACATGTTTTTGTTATTAAATAATTTAAATTTCCCATGGAACCTTGTCTGCGCAGAGCATTTCCAAATCCACAATAAAAACCAATCATCTAGTTATAATTCTACATTCAAGTTAATTTCAGATGGGCAAAAAAAAGGTATCATAGATATCAATTTGGTAAAAGCACAACTGACCTGATCGACACTTGTATTTGTCAAACCAGCAATAAATGGCTCGAAAAATTCTGCTCGTTTACGAATTTCCCCAGAAGTGACAAATCTAAGGAACATTACAACTAACATACAAATATCATTAGGAATTTTGAAGAAATAAATGCAAGAAGAGAGAAAAGAGCAAACATTCCCTTACCATAGTCAGAGACAAACTGATCCCGGCACCTTGACAAAAGCTCCTCGATGCTAAAACACAAATGACCACACCCACTCCCTTGATAAGCAAAACCATTAAACAAACGCTTGGTATAGAAAAAATTTCACAGAGCATTGATGTATAGAAAAAAAACTTTAACAATTATTCAACTAAAGTACACCAACGAGAATTCGCTAATGATTTATACCTTATGGAAGGTCCTTTACCCGGCAGTACATTTTCCAGTTGTTCCATGAATATCTAGAAATCAAATAAACTGCCAAAAGTCAGCGAACAGCAAGAAACTCCGCAGTGTAACTCTATTATTTATTGAAATGAACATCAAGAAAGAGTTAAAGGGCATCAAGACTAAAAAACAGGCGGTTGGACCCAAAGAATGTTTGATAAGCCAGTGCAGGTTTCCATCACTCCACAAAGCTGGATATGAATAATCAGATAGTACCGACTAAAAACAAAAACAAGGTTCTATTTGAATCACATCGATTATAGTCCGGCTACTTTTTAGTTTTAAAAGTTGTAAGGCGCCAACAATACGACTCAAAAGAATGAGAAATAAATATTAAAAAGCTCCATGAGCATGCATGTGGTGCAAGTTTGTTTCATAGAAAAAAAACAAAATGTTCAGACTTAAGTTGGTATGAGGAATTATATGAGACTAAATAAATAAATGACAGAAGTGCACACCATGTAATCTCTATAGGCATGCTATTTAATGTGCAAGAAAAGCATATGCAAAAGAGACCCCATCATGGAAAAAAAAATCAATGTCAATAACAAGCAAAAAAGCTATCTCTAGCCTCATCTACAGGCATACATCTGCATAGGAGATGAAAACTAATACTCTCCAACTTCTACAAGAACTATTCACTCCGATATACCTTTTTGTGTTGGTGAATCAAGCCGTTGGCTAGTTTTGTACAACCATGACAGAAGTAAATTATATATGCTAATTCGACCCAAATGGATTCGAACCCGAGAAATAGGATATATCTGTCTATCTATCTATCTACACGAGTTTTTAATCAACTTACACTAAAGAAATCCTCATATGTAAATTCTGTGTAGCCAAGGCTCTGCAAAGTGTTCTTGCATTGTTCAACCTTTCCAGTAATTCGCTCAGCCTCAGTAACATCTTGTGTTTCTAGAATGTGTTCCTAGAAACCTCAAAAGATTTTCTCATTAACTTCAAAAATGCAAATCCAATAATACTGATAAAAAGACCAGTAGAGAAAATTTCAACCAGAAGTACCAGATAAGCAAGCATAAAACTTCTATAGAGACAGTTTCCATCTCCCCGTGTTCGCCTTAGAGCTGTATATTGCTCAGCAAGTATCTGCATGAGAAATAATGTCATTGTAAAAATGGAAAAAGAAAAAGTCTCCGTATAAATTAATCCCAAAAGAGTTAATAATTCATCCAACCCTGATTTTCTCCTTGAGGATGGGGCTGCCTGACTCAAACTCAGCTGCTAAGGCAGAAAGCGGCTCCTGCAAGACAAACCAACTCTACCATTATAAAGAGTAATTATGGAAACTGTAGTAGTGCTGAGGCGGCTTTTAATATACATAACAAAGATGCAACAGAGTATGCGCATAGAAGTTCATAAGTTTTTAAGGAACAAAGAGTTGGCAAAATTTAGAAAACTTTCAAATAGTTGACCTCTCTTATAACCCCATTTACAATACATTGATAAATCTTACTTGTAATAGAGATGGAGAAAGCTTAAAAGTTAAGTAAAATTTTCAAATGGATGCCTTAAAAATAAAACATAAAGATACTAAAAACTAATAACGTTTTTACCAACAACTTCCAAAATTTCAAGCTTTCTGAAATTTAACTATGATCAGAAAAGCCAATTTTGAACTTATAAGTAGCCTATGTTAAATCATATTGCACTTCTAGACAATCTTTCACAAGCTGAAAAATGCCAAATCGCACAGATGGAGATTCCACTTTGGCCAACAAGCTGTGGAAAAATTAGTAACCCACCAATCTTGAGAGATATGAGATATATAACTTACATGTACAATTGGGAGGCCACTTAAACAAAAAAAGAGTGATGCTGTCATAAATTCTGAATTTTCTTTTGTTAGGGATGTTTAAACTTTTTTATAAATTTTAGATTTGATAAGTTTAATAAGATTATTTTAGTCTGTCATTAAATTTGTTAATAATCAATAGTAATTTTAAGCAATATATTAATACCTGTTGGGAATTTAACAGTTATTTGCTATTTATTCATCTAAAATATGGGAATTCGGAATCACTATGACAAACAAAATTCTTACGATGGATGTTGAGGTCCTTCTTCTCATCTAATTTTGAATTTTGATCCTTGAACAAGTGTGAGACTTGAATAACTCTATGGCTGAGGCTTATGTTTCTAGTGGCTTATTTTCCTTCATTCTTTACTTCCCACTTCTCCTACGTTTTTTAGTGATTGGTTGAAAATAGACAATCTTTAATAAGATTTTAGGCAATTTGGATTTCTGCCTATTACATGAACTTTAAATCACGCTTGCAGCTCACATGAATCATAGCATAATTGAAAATTTCTAGTAAACAATAATTTTTTTGTCCAAATTAATTTCCATCATTCTTTATTTTTCATGGAGGATGGTCAATAGTGGTTTCAATCAATAAATTATTCTTCAAGCTTTGTGCGCTCACTGGATTTGATCTACATTACATGGTAGATCAATATTAGAAATTCTAGGTCCTAAGAGTTCCTACATCATAAATCCTGTCAATCCCAATCACAAGAGTTTGAGGTTTTAGAACTCATAAGAGACGAATCTAGAATTATATCGACATCATTTGATTTCCACAATCCCTTATGTTTGTTATATAGGCCTTAATGATATTTCAACATTTCCTAAAACTCTAGAACATCCTAGAGTGTTTTAACACTTTAAGAACAGCCAATTGGACCTAAGAGATAAGACTGACCAAAACTCTTTGACTTGACCATAATTTTTGAGGCAACAATTTAGAAGATGAAGAATTTGAGATTGATAAAATCAGCCAAAGCAGCCCAAGCTATAAAAAAAATTATTGCAAGGGTATTATTAGAATCTCTTGCTTACATTTGAGCAATAATTATTCATTTCGAAAAATGAGTGGAAGTCCCTAAAATTTAGGAAAATGTAATTAATTTTTTTATTGTGTATTTTCTAGCTTTAATTGTGAATGTTAGTTCCATAAATTATGCCCCTGCTTGATTTTGGGGGTATAAGCTATTTCCATGCGCACTTATCTATGTTGGATAAATTTTGATTTAAATCTAGTTATCCATATTGTATTTTCATTAATAGGGAACTAGGAGACCGTTAAATGAACAACATAGTGAATTAAATAAAATCTTTATTTAAAAAAAATCCTATTTTCGTCTGAAAGCCGACATTTTTTTTTTTTTTTTACCTTGTCATTTTTGTTTGTTCTCTCGAAGACCAATAAGGGTTCAGCTTCTACTACGAGCAAATTCAATCATTTGCCCAAAATCGAAAATTAAGAACAAATCCCTCAATCCAAATCATAGGTCTGTAAACATCCCACGAGTATCAGTTTATCGCGTTTAAATGTAAGGTTGTGTGTTTACAACAAATATCCCATTTACAATATAAGAAATAAACAATGAAATTAGACCAATATTTAGAGAGAATTCAATGAAAAACTAATGAAAAGTAAAAGAGCATTTTGATGCAGAGAGATAAAAGGTTTTTAATCAAAAACCTTGTCTTGAGTGTGATAATCTTTATTAATTCAATAATGTAGCATCAAGTCTCCATATTGTTTTCTCCCCCACATAGTTGTGTGAATTATAATTTATTTCATTGTTTACTTACTCTTAAACCGTAGAATATACTCTTAGAAGAAAAATATGAGATAAATCTTGTGACATTCTATTTGACTTGCATAGTTACATTAAAAAGTTTACCCCCAACCTCAGTTAGTAACATGTTTGTGGCACATTATATGACAACAAGGACATTATCCAAATCCACTTGGAAAAACATCAATAAAAAACCTATCTAATTTGGATTACAAATCATTATTACTATCAAAGCCAAAAGAATGCTGGGAGGCCTTAGAATAGTAAAAATTGTTATGGAAAATAATAAATCTAATAGTTATAAATTAGGAAGTTTAATTATAGGTAGCTTGATTATAGAAACTCTAATAAATGTATTTTCTATATTAGGTAACATAATTAGAGATGATCTATTTCCAAAATTTTTCCTTTATTACAGATATTCATAAACTCTAGAGATTAGAGTGTATATAAATAATTAACATATGTTTTCAACCGATAATAAGAAATAGAATTATTTTCCTTGACATGGTATCAAAGCCTCGCACGGCTCGCTAGTCTGTTCTTCAATTCGACTTCTTTCCCAGCACGCAAGTGCAGCTCTATCTACATGGTTCGATTCTTTCATATGTACGTCAAAAGCAAACAATTTGATGAATAATGGGATTAATCGTATTGGCATCGTTCCCCAAAAACTATTCACTTTTACTCGAGCAATCATCACTTCAGCCAATCGTCACTTTCCACAAGCGATTGTGACTTCCCAAACGCCCGCAGTTGATCGTCACCTTCAAATACCTTAACGTCGACGTCATCTCGTGGTTTGGCTTTATCCTACGACGTCGTTCACAACTTGAGAATGGTCGTCCATCGCGAGTGGTCATCTCTTGTGGCGTCATTTATCGAGTTTATTTTTCTTTGACGATCATCGAAATGTTCAATGAGGCATTCTTCTTGTCCATGCCGCAAGTTGAGGAGTCCATCCGAAAAGGTTCAGATTATTGGTTTAACCGAAAAAAAAAAACAAAATCACAGCATCAATGGAATTAGTTGACTCACTCACTTTGAATATTTAGTGATAGTCATCATTAATGAAAAAAACATGTTATAAGCTTGGTTTTATTAGTGGCTAAAATTACCGATGAAAGGTTAAATAATATCAAATAAAATTGTGAAACTTTACATGAGAAGTGATTCTCAAGAGATTCACCGATTTGATAACCCCAATAAGGATTGATTTGAATTATTCTTGCCCAACTTTAGATACTAGTAAAAAATTCTATTGAATCTAATCAATCTGGACATATTACTTATTGTGATTACGTGAAAGATGTGATTGAAGAATTGATATTTGTGTTTCCTGAGAGAAAAATATCAAAAGAATCTCTGATGTAAGTAAGGGGTTCTATAGAGCTAAAAAAGAACAATCACTTGATGGTTATCACATGCACTTTAAACATGTTTTTGAGGAATTGAATAGACTATTGCCCTTCATTCCTGATGTTTAGATTCAGCATGCTCAAAAAAACCAAATGACTATTATGAGTTCTCTAGCTAGCCTCAACTCTCAATAAAAGGTGTCAAATCACAGATCATATCAAACCCCGGAGCTACTACATTGAAGGAATCCTCTACTAAAACGTTGTGTACTAGCCTGAGTTCTTAGGTTTCATCCATACAACAACCTAATGCTCTTGATAACCAGAAAAATACAAACATTGGCAAACCTCAATCTCAGGGCAATTATAAAAGTGAAACTTCGAATTCTAGAAATCAAGGCTCGAGGGTAGTTTGCTATTATTGCCATGAACCTAGTCATACAAAGAGAAAATGCCAAAAGTTGTTCAAAGAGAATCAAAATGATTCTAGATCACAGTCAACTCACATGGTCACTACCAATTAGGCATCTCAATCACTCTCAATTTTGCAGATGAAAATGCTCAGATCAACTAATTTCAAAAAAAAAACTAAGAAAGATCCCCCTATCATTGCCTTTACTGAGTTAGGTAGCAGTATTACTTTGTCTTCTTTCCTCTTCCATGTAATGGATCATTGATTTTGATGCTACATATCACATGACAAGTAATCCAAAACTCTTTCACTTTTAATAAACATATTTATTCCATCACCTTAGGAGATGGATCTACCTCTAGTGTTCTTTGTTTTAGCACCATCAATGTTACACTTACACTATATTTAAATTTTGTCTTTAATTTACCTCAGTTCTCTTTCAATCTAGTATTTTTTAACAAAATTGCACATCCTCTTAATTTTTGTAGCTTATTTTTCCCTAATCATTGCCTTTTCAAAATCTAATGACAAAGTAGATTATTGGGAAAAGACGAGTCGGGGGCATATACATTTTGGATAACGAACGATCTCGACACATAGCCTGCTCGAGCACCTTATCTTCCTTTGATGTCCATGTCTATTACAGTATCCATCACTATCAATGCTAAAATATTTATACTCTCAGTTTCAACAATTATCATCTTTAGATTGTGAGCAGCATCAATTTACTAAACACCATAATTTCTCTTATGTTTCAAGAGTTAATAACAGAGTTGGTCATAGTTTTAAGTTAGTTCAATATGATGTTTGTGGACCTTAATTTGTTTTATCTAATGGATTTCTATATTTTATCACCTTTGTGAATGATTTCTCTCATATGACTTG